AATAATGATCTTTAAAAAAGCATCATATGACCCCTTTAAAAAGTCCATCTACAAAAAACACAAACCTAGCATTAACTAGAAAGCCCACACTTAAAGTATGCAGATCAAGTAAAAAAATCTAAATCAAGCAGATCAAATGCACATGAGAACATGAGGAAAAACAAAACTTACAAGATTGAACACGAAACAAGTTTCTCAATCAGGACTCCAATGAAATTTGCATTTCGAGTGCAATACCATACTTCCCTCTTCCAAACAAAACTAACTTCCTCTACTCTCCTACCTGGTTAAATTACTTGGGGTTAAAGCTTTCCATCACCCCCTAGTGGAGAGTAGGGAAAAAAAAACTAGTAACAGCTAGCCCTGTTACAAGGTGAGCCTTCTGCCCAGTCTGAGGTTCTGAATGCTCTGGACTAGGTTTTCATTAACACTATCTCTATATTTTGGTGCATTGAGCTTATCTTCTACTCTGATGAGTCCCTCGGTCCCTGCCGCTGAAAAACAGCTCCACAGCATGAGGCTGCTACCAGCACACTTTACTTTTGGGATGCTACTCTGCAGGTGATGAGCAGAGCTGGTTTCCTTCAAACATGATGCTTAGAATTGAGGTTCATCAGACCGGAGAATCTTGTTTCTCACAGTCTGAGGGTCCTTTAGGTGCTGTTTTGCAAGTTCCAAGTGTGTTTTCATGTGTCTTCACTGAAGAGCGGATTGAGTATTGCCACACCGCCATAAAGCCCAGATCTGTGGAATGTTGCAGTGATGTTTGTCCTTCTGTAGGTTTCTCCTATCTCCACATATGATCATGGAGCTCAACTAGAGTGACCATCAGCTTCTTGTTCACCACTCTAACCAAAGCCCTTCTCCATCAGTTGCTCAGTTTGGCCAGGAGGTCAGCTCTAGGAAGAGTCCTGGTTGTTTCAAACTTCTTCCATTAAGGGTAACAGAGACTACTTGCTTCTGTGACCCTTCAACGAAGCAGATTTTTTTCTGATATCTTCCCCAGATGTGTGGCTTTATGCAAACCTGTTTCTGGTCTTAACGGCAGTTCTTTTGACATCAGGGCTTGGTTTTTGCTCTGATATGAATCAGAAAGAGCTTTATTGCCAAGTATGTTTGCACATACAAGGAATTTGTTATAGTGTCACAAACTTCCAGTACACTGAGACAACAACAGCACACAGATAATAAAAGTGAGATGTGAATAAAATACACATGCATAAATATAAACCACAAAAAAATTAATAAATTGTATGTACAGGTGTGCTATAGATGGAATAGTTATCAGAAAGTATTTTTTCAGTTTTTTGCTTTACCGTTATGGCATATGGAGTGTAGATTGATGTGGAGAAAAAAAGTAATTTAAAGCAGTTTAACATAAGGCAGCAACATAACAAAATGTGAAAAAAAATTAAGGGGTATGAATACTTATGCAAGGTACTGTATGTCACTTTATAATTTTTCTCAAAATGTATCAGAAAGATGTATTTGCTGACACACTTATAAACGACCTCCTGTCATCACATCAGTCAAACTTTGGTGTTTATATTTATTATAAGACAAGTATTATGATGTACTATTATTAGTATTTGCTGTCAATATACGTGTCATGTTTTTAATCTGCATTCAGGTGCTCCTCTATAAACCTAAATGTGTAAAATGAAGGGGAAAGACAGAAGACTGGAGCAGACAGCAGGTGCATGTATGACAGCTGCCCTGTACAATCAAATGCTCACCGTGTGAGACTCTGATCTGGCCTGCATCATGTCTCTATTCCATCTGAGTCTCTCTTCACCTTCACAATCCATAAAATGACAAAAAGCCAGAAGCAAAAAGTCATAAAAATCTGCATTTAGACCCTTTTCTTTGTGGTTTATTTTCCTCTAGGTTGGATACAGTGTTTGTAAGGTGAACAGACATGTGCAGATTCCTCAGATCCTGAATCTCTCTTCATTCTGATCATCAAACTGCAAAGTAAAAAAAAAAAAAGATTTTGAATTTGTTTCACTGCACCCATCCATCCTAACATCATTCCTTCAGTATACTCTAGTAAAAAAGGTACAAAAGCTGTCACTGGTGTGGTAAACATTTACATAGCCTGCTATGCACACTTTAAGTATTAATATGTACCTTTAATGAACCAATTTGCACCCTTTAGCGCTAAATAAAATGTATGAGTGAGTTTACTGAACCCAGAACAAAAGGAGGTCCCACTTTATATGAAGTGGCCCTAATACCTGTGTACTTACATAGTAACTAGATGTGTACGTAGTATGTAACCACAGTGTAAGTACACATTGGTACATAGTATCTAGAGCTGTAACTTTCAGTAACTACACACATGTAACAACCCTCCGAATGGTTTGTGTAAGTACAAATGTGTAACAGGACATTTATAACTACATTTTGTAGCAACAATATGTATAAGAGTAATTGGAACAATTTGATCTGGGGGGGGATCTCGCTGTGAGCCTAATAAAACCTTTAGAATGCAGAAATGTTAGAAATGCAGATGTGTTTTTAAATTATTTTGTTTTCTAAAACTTCGTTCGTTGAATAAATAATTTGACATCGTTAACGTTCTTCCACTCTGTGTGGAGTTTACAGACGCTCCCTTACGCCATGCCTCGCGGCACAAATGAAAAGTGAAAGTAAAAGTACATTTGAAGCTTCGCCATTTAAACAGCCAGAATCTATTCTACACTGAATTTTAAACGGATTCTAAAAGTGTTTCATAGGAACCTTTATAAAAGATAAGCCAAGCATGTACGCGTAGAAGCCGGTGGAGTATGTGGATCTAATTCAATGTTGATGAAGCTGCAGGTGTCTGCTTTACAGTTGACTTCCACATTCATATTTACTCTGAAGGACAGTAGTTCTTTAATATGTGTTTGATATTTTAATTTAAGCAAATGAACGTGGTTTCACTGGTGTTGGCAGTTGTTAACACATGACTAACATTGTGTATTTGAGTAACTCTGCATGATCTGTTTCTCTCCGGATCTGTTCAGCTGAATTATTGTGATTGTTTGTGATTTCATTCAGAGTCAGTGCTGGAGATCAGATTCTGTTTCATCATGGGTGACACACAAACATCCAGAGATGAAGCTTTTTCTCCAGGATGCAGGTACTTTGAATAAACGCTGAATTAAATCATTTTAATGATAGTAAATGGGAGTCTCCATCGTGCTTTTTATGTCTCTATATTTTTAAGATAAAATGTTATTTAAACAAAAAGACCATAAAGCCTCCTCGTGAAGTGCTCTTTGATTAAAATACCTAATTTATGATTATCATCATAAAGGATTAAATGTGTTTGTTATAGTTCAGTTCAGCAGAAGAGATCAGAAGCAGAGTCCAGCTGTGTGTCTATGAGGAGTGACAGGTCTATGGGTCATCCAGATAATTTTAAGAGTGGAGATACACAGACTGATCTCAGGTATAATATTTCTGTAAAAATATGATTATAGTATGGCATTTTATATTGTGAAAGCACTCAGTTCAATAAATTTTTTTGTAATAACAGTGTTTACAGAAGAAATGAGTATGAAGTGTTCTTTAAAGTGATCAAGTAATAAACATATAGGCCTACATATGTTCTTAAATATGGTAATTCAGATGATTCACTTTAATCTCTCTGTTACAGTTCAGTTCATCAGAAGAGATCAGAGACCAGCTGTGTGTCTATGAGGAGTGACGCATCTATGGATCAGTCATTAGATTATAAGAGTGAAGATACAACGACTGATCTCAGGTCTAATATTTCTGTAAAAGATTATTTGATTATGATACAGAATACCGAAAAGACTTTGTTATCATTAGCTTATTTAATAATGCAGTATTTTAATTTTCCAGGCATGAAGTCCTCAAGACGTTTAGATCAAATGTGCTGAAGAAGTTTGAGCGTCTGTATGAGGGAACAGCGACGCAGGGAAACCCAACACTGCTGAATGAGATCTACACAGAGCTCTACATCACAGAGAGTGAGAGTGGAGAGATCAGTAATGAGCATGAGGTGAGACAGATTGAGACACAATCCAGGAGAGCAGCAACAGAGGACACAGCCATCAAATGCA